TACTACGTGTTGCATGTCTGCAACGATTAATGATCGGTTCAATTTCGTTAGCAATCGACGTCTCAGGATGAAAGCCCCGTCGTCGAGAGTACGCGCACTCTTATTATTCATTCATAGCGTGATATGACGTTGTCTAATAAATATAATCAGCTATGCACAATCCCGTTAGCTCTCGTCGTACAGAGGAGTACCGTCTCCGCTGAGCGACATACTTCGTGGACTAGAATTTGTATGTGGGGTGCCTCGCGGAGATCTGTACGACGGAGTACGCGTAGACGAAGGTCTGCTCCTTCCGGAGGGCGTTGTTCTGCCGACCGGCTCGTCATAGTTACGTGGAGTTCTTCTAGACTCCTCGTACCTGGGCGTCGATCCGCTGAAAACACATTCAACACATTGATGATAATTGAATGAAGAACATTAACATTTCAAATATCAATAATTTTTAATAGGAAAACGTGATCGTTATTTAATACATATTTATTATTGCACTTACGAGACTCGCGAACCGCTTTTTATACGTGCTGCCCAATCCTCGGCGGCCTTCTTCCAATCCGTCGGGTCGCCGAAAGGAGTGGACAGAGGTGGTGTAGGTCTGTGCGATTGAGCAGACCTGTGATGGCTGGGTGTCATCGAGGGCGGCGGCGGGTGCACGAAGGGCCCTTGATGATGGCTAGGGGTTTGTTGGCCGTATCTGGGAGTAGGCTGGCCATGATGCGGAGTGTGATGAGGCGTCTGGTACGCGGTCATAAACGGAGTTTGGCCAGACGGCGTATACGGCGTGTTGGGATACGTGTGTACTCCGCCGTAGCCGGTAGCGCTAGCCGCTCCGGGTGTGTGTGGCGGATAGTGATGCGGCGTCTGATTCGCCACTTGCGATAGCGAGTGCAACATGTGATGTGGGAGGTTCTGTGCAACTCGCTGTATTGCTTCTTGATTCATTCCTGAAACAATATCGATCGAAATAATAGCAATTAATACATTTGCAGTCCTTGTGCTCTTACTTGTGCGTTTCATTTCATTTTAGCGAAAAATTGTAGTTGTTAACACAGAATATATATATATGTAAAATGATTTTATCTTGAAATACAATATTTTTTCCTAGTAAAATATATTTTGACCTATACTAAGATTCCAGGAATTACTTTCATATAAAAATTATGATGACTGACAGTTCGCGGTGATGATATAGACAGACTTACCGCTAACTCTTCCTGGCGTAGTAGTGTAAGGTGTCCTAGAAGTCATTGCGCCGCGTGGTGTACTCGGAGTGGATTGTCCAGGGACGGGATCCCTAAAGTGTTTCTTGAACCAGCGTAGTAGATCGCTCACCCTACCGAACATCTGCGCTCGAAATCTGAAGCCCTCGGATGTCACTGTAACGAACTCGTGGCGACAGCGAGTACGCGGCAGATATATACGAGAGTAGGAACTTTCCAGGATAGGTCTATGAGGGGAAAAAAATTAATGAAATTATTTTTAAATTAAAAGTGAAGAAAATTTTTGGGAAATTGCTGGTGTTACGTGCGTAAACCAGCTACGCGTTTACTTACCTTAGCTGCCGATATGATGTAGGGAATTCCACCAGGATTTTCCTTCTTCTGTTCCTTCAGTATATCCTCTGCTTTGTCTTTGATTCCCTCCACGTTGGGCTTGTAGTATTTGAAGTCCAATAATTCGGAGGCGTAAGCGGCCATGGGATTCACATGTCGAGCGATGATCTCATCCAAATCCTCGAACTCCTCGTTGCCGATCCATAGGCTCTGCGAATTTACAAATATGTAAATCGTTATTTATATAAACATGACTAAATCCCTCAAAGCAAGAATGCAGATCTACTTCATTTTTATGAATGACATTTTCACATATGTCACAGGTGTACAATAGAGTTTCCTACAATATAACAAATACAAATTAACACAATATAACAAATAAATTTATATTACTTAAATAAATAAGAAATAAAAAGCAACCTAACCTATAAGTATGCTTAGTACTGTATAATATATAGATACTAACTTCGTTTGTATTTTCTGGCGATGTAAAATTATCCGTCCCTTCAGCCATACTTATAATTATTTAACTTCTTTCTGATAACTTTTTAACTTCGTTCTTTCTGTGTCACCACGTGTACTTATTTCTCTCTGTGTTTTCGGCGTTCGGCGTTGCTTCGCTAAAAGTTCAACCGTGTTGAACTTTTTAGCTAAGCAACGCCGTAACGCCACCTTGACAAAAATTGATGGAGTGGGGGTAAAACGCTGGCTTTTCTTCGCTCCGTGAAATTGTATCTTAAAGGTGGAAGCACATAAAATTGCAGGAGCCATGAGCAGAAAGCAGAAGCCATATGCGCATGCGCTATGGTATCCGTGAGCTCTAACAGATATCATAGCGCATGCGCATATGGCTTCTGCATTCTGCTTATGGCTCCTGCAATTTTATGTGCTTCCACCTTTAATAAGCCCCCTGGCCTGCGTTCAGAAACTTTTACCCAGGTAGAGTAGGAGTAGAGTTAGAGTTGACTTCGGGTTACTGTCGTTTATGGACGACGAAAGTAAAGGTGGAAGCACATAAAATTGCAGGAGCCATAAGCAGAATGCAGAAGCCATATGCGCATGCGATATGGTATCTGTTAGAGCTCTACGGATACCATAGCGCATGCGCATATGGCTTCTGCTTTCTGCTCATGGCTCCTGCAATTTTATGTGCTTCCACCTTAACATCACGGGTTAACATGGCGCTCTCCCATCAAGCATTGAATATGAGTGAAAATATGGCAGCGCATCAGGAAAATAGTGTCCGTATCCCTTTTTGTTCGCCGGTTCTTGTGAATAACTTTAACCTAAAAAAGGCGTGTTTCGAGAACATGCGTTATGTGCCCCTTATGTGACGGAATCTATATATGTGCGCATGTCGAGTAATTTCTACCTACCTCCTCGACGTGGGTAGAAATAGTTAACTCGAGAGTTGACTCAAGCGTGTTTCTGAACGCCACAAATAGGTCAACTCGGCATTTCTGAACGCCTCGAGTTAACTAGAGTTAACTCGAGTAAGGTTTCAGAACGCAGGCCTGGATGCACCCATTGGACGCGTTCAGCAATCGAACGTGATTGGCTCTTACTTTTAGAACCAATCAATCAACGCATAGTGTTGATAAGACGAACTCAACAGTTGTGTCTGCTGAAGGCGGCCATTGTGCATGAGCCCTTAGGACTCTTGAGCAGAAAAGCAAAAATGGCTGGTTGGATGAGAGTTGGTCGCTCCTTTTCCAGAAAATATTCGTCGGCTGCTTCTGACACTCATGCCAGTTCAGGTAGATATAAATGAAGTGTGCTAATTAATTAATTTATATATTATTTACGCATTTGAAAACAACAGTATTTATTATTCGCGTAAAATATTACACTCTAGACAATATTATCTCTCATAGCAAAGTGTCATTTTTGTCAAAATATTATTCATTAGGATTCGAATGTTACTCTTTCTATTTAAATAATACTATGAAGGCGTATCACGTTTTATGGGTAAAGAGAAAATATATAGAGGATGTCAGATAAGTTATCAATGAACATTACATAACGGTAACGTATGCTTTTCAGAGCAGACGCAGCTTTTATGGAAGAGGCTTTCATATTTCGTAGGCTTTCCAGCGATAGGACTGGCTATGGTTAATTGCTATTTGAATCATCAGGCACATCATCATGATGAACGTCCAGAATTCATCGCATATGATCATATGAGAATAAGAAGCAAGGTACATATCAAAACATGTATATGACATTAAATATGAAAAACATGGATTTCCAAGATCCTTGTTAATTCTTACTTTACATTACTATTTTCTAATATATTATTTAATTATTAATATAATATATTATTTTTAGAAATTTCCATGGGGAGATGGTAACCACAGTCTTTTCCATAATCCCAAAACAAATCCTTTACCCGAGGGTTATGAAGAGTAGTAAGTGGTTCTATCTAGATTGTGTAATAATTACGTTGAGCACTAGCATTCTTTATAACATGTATCCTGCATTATACTGACTTATGAACAATTGAGTCAATAAATTGATAGAGATATGACATTTATATTCTTTTTCTATACAATATTTTCTTATCCGACCACTATGATTAACTTAATGTGATTATCATAAAATCACTCCCAGTGCTATGTATATATAAATATATATATATATATATATATATATATTTTTACACCTCTATATGAAATTTTGCTGCAATTTCTAATGTTATAAACTCTGTTAAATTTAAATTGTTTAAACAAATTTGTTGTAAATATAGAGTTTAAGAATAATAGGCATTAATACAAATTCTGTTTTTTCTTTATTAAAAATGAAATACATAACGAATTTATATAGTTACAGCAATATAATATATTATCAGAGATGTAATAAATCTACGAGATCTTTTTTTAAATCTTGTATTATAAAACATCATAAAATTACAACTTGGTTTATTGTCTAATCTGATACAAAAATATCAAAAATATAAACAAGCAAAATGTCAACCAATTTTTATAAAATAGCAAATGTAATGAGCTTGATACTTACGTATTGAGCTAATTATGTATTCAAATTACTAATATAACTAAATTACCTCCTGTTTTGTATATGTTATTATTACCTATATTTAAATCAAATAATTAATGCAAAATTCAAATGAGGAATGTCTCTTATAGCTGATCATAATAAAGAAAAAATTGAAAGATATCTAATTTTCTATGTCACCATTCCTCGCAAATACAATTATGATAAACATACATCACACATATACATATTATTGAATTGTATTATTAAACATACATATTGTATTAATGAACATATACACATCACGCACGCACAAACACACATCTACACTTATTATTGTATTTGCATAAATGAATATATGGGTGCGATCCACTAGACACTTCAAACGCTTCAGAGCATTATTTTGTCCTTGTTTAACATTTGATAAATAAGGATGAAACGTTTCTAAGAGCGTTTGGAGCACCAAGTGGATCGCACCCGCACTGTGTATGCGCATACACATGTACGAAATAAATGTGTGTATATAAATATATACATATATAAATTCGGTTTGAATATATATATATATATATATATATATATATATATATATATTCAAACCGAATTAACTTAAAGTCGAACGATTGCACAGTTACAATTGAACATTATATATAAATATACCGTTATAGTTATGGAAGAAATGAAACGCTTTAGAAAATTAAATATTATTACACTCTCAACTTTTTCGTGCTATTTCCTTTGATCGTCAACAGAATAAGAAACGTAAAATATATTAGTGTGAATTCTATATATCACATAATTTTATTTAGGAAAGTTTGGTTACAAACTAACGCGTCAACAGCTTTTATATTTAAAATATAAGTAACAATGAATACTGATTAATTGACAATGAGTTATATTCTAGTCTGAGAAGCTTAAAATCTTAGCAAATTATGGAGAATTTCAAGATGCAGATATGTGTTTTTGAATTATACGTCGATGATACATATAATTGGCTTATAACCTTTGCATTGCTTATAATGTTCCGTTTTCCAATGCAAAGATGAGCAACGTTTGGAGCAATAATGAGCTTCCAAGCAAGCTTGACAATACACTGTACTTTTGCGCTTGCAGCGTAAACAGGGCTTATCTACCTCATCCAGAATTCCTAGATTGTCATTTATGTCCAATGATTTTTCATCCTTTTCATTCAACGACTTCAAATTATTTTGAAGAAATGTAGTCGTATTTTCCATTGTCTCGAATAACGATGGCGATATACTCCTAATGTTTAAGATACTCGGCGTGATTGCGTCTTCGGAGGAGTCGCTTTTCACGGAAATACATTCAATATCGTCATTAAGAATATCGTTTTTAACGAAAACTTCTACATTTTTATCAATTACTTCTTCTACATTTACGTCGACGGGAGCGTCTTCTTTTTGAACGGAGTTACATGAAGAACTTCGCGATTCTTCGGTATATTTTTGGTACATATGTTTGAGCTCTTCATTGATCGTTTTAATGTTGGTGTTAGTGTCTACTTCCATCATTTCCTCTTCCATATCTTCGGGAAGTTTTAGGCAGATCGACATCTCGCTTTCTTCCGTACTCGATGCATCTTCCGGAACTTCAAATTTCGATGACATTT